GAAATAGCTCAGTCACAAGAAGACAAATACTGCACAGAGCCACTGTTGTAAAGCGGGACTAACATCAGAGTTGGGGGGAAATTAAGAGGGAATAAGTAATGTATACTGCATTGAAACAGATGACAGAGAGAATTGTTTAAGAGGAATATATAATTAGATACTATGACAAGTTTCCAGAATGAAAGCTTCATAGTGGAGTGGACTCGGGGAATGAGAGATTATATAACAATGAAAGTTTTTTGTTTGTTTTTTTACTTTTCAAAGAGAAAAGCTAACTAGGGGGGAGGGGAGCGCAGGGAGAAAAGTGAAACAATGAATGAATGGAAATCCAAAGTCTCTGGAAATTTTCATTAAAATAAAAAAATAAATAATAATTTCTGGGAACCCCAAAAAAAACCCCAAACTGCATACTTGGTGCTAGCAGTGTAAGTCCTTTTACTAAGCCACCAGAGCTTCCTATCTCAACTGTGCCATATCTTTAATCTGAACAGTAAGCTTCCACAGGGTTTATTAATTCTAGTCTGCTAGACTTCAGTCCTATTATTTTACTTTTACGAATCTGTGCCCCTATCTCCTGTTCTTGAGTTTCTATTGTTCCTTCAAAGTTCAACTTAGAAATAATCTCCATGAAGCTTTTCAAAACCCATTGCCCCTACCCTCTTGTCAAAATAAATCACTTGCTCCTCTCAATAGCCATTGGATAATGTGAATAACTGTATAAAAAACAATGAAAATGAAAGAAACTCCTAATGTGTATGAATGACTGTATGTAAACCAAGGAAAACAGATTAAAAAAAAAACCAGTCATTGTATCTTTAACTTCCTTCTATTTGGCATTTTTTTTTTCATACTGTACCTTAATTATGTAAGTTTTCTGTAAATATTTTTAAGACTCTTGATTGTACTGTTAGAAATACTGATATCACTAATTTCTTCATATTTATAGATTAAACAATACTGGCCATTAATCTGCGTGGGTTTTTTTTTCCTCCTTAACTCTTCATTCTCTCTTCTATTTTGTCTTGACCTACCAGTTCAGTTACTTAAAACTTGGTGATCCTTTCTATTTCTTCCTCCACTTTCAAATAAAATACTTTTGGAAACATGAGTCCAATATTTACAGACATGTACAGTCTACACTGTCCTCATATCTCTCAAAGGGAAGAAGAAGTTATTCATCTTCATACCTTTACCATCTACTGTCTTACTGTCTTGTTGGTGTATTATTATAATTTATGTAAAAAAAATTATCTGCACAACCCAAAGGCCAACAAGCTGGTCAGAAACAGAACATCACATGCTATATGAAAATTGCAGTATATCCATACAATGGGATTTTATTTGGTAATAAAAGCATAATGAATTATATATGCTCCAATACAGACAGATATTGAAAATACTGTGCTAAGTGAATAAATCACACACAAAAGACCATCTATTGTGTGACTACATTTAGATATGATATCCACACTAGGCAAATCTACACAGACAAAAAGTGGATCAGTGAATGAGAGTCTGGGGAGGCTGAGAGGAAATGGGAAGAAGTCACTGCGCCAGGGCATATGGTTTCTTTAGAGAGAGATAAATGTTTTCAGATTTATTGTGGTGAATGGTTGTACAGGTCTGTGAATATACTAAAAACTACTGAACTGTACATTTTAAACAGCTACATTATGTAGTAAATTGATTGTATATCAGCAAAGCTGTTAGGGGAAACAATCTTTTTGTCAAGAGTTTCACAGATAGTAAGTACAGGTATAGGGTGGAGATGACAAGTTTATTCTCCTTATAACCCTCTGCACTCCATTGGCCCTTCCTGTTGGGTGAATGAGTCTTTGACCACTTGGCCCAGGCTTAATAGCTTGTCTGTACCAGAAAGGAATGAAGAAGAGCAAGCAGGTCACTGAACAATGAATAAGAAAGACTTGAGAAGAACTGTAATTATTTATTATCCAACTTTCATAATGTCCCTCAATTTAGTCTGGTCTGTTGTTCTCTCATAATTAAAATGAGGATGAATTTTCTTTTTTCATTCTAGGAGTTACTAGGAACATAAATAACATTCTTAAAACATAAGATTTATTTAATAATGACACAATTCTAGAAAACTCTGTGAGGAATAAAACATAGCTGATGTTTAAAATATTTATTTATTTATAGCAAAAAACCAAAGCAAGAGATAATATGGCAGAGTATTACTAATGGTTAATATAAAGAAAAACCAAAAGCCATTATGACATTGAGAGTCTCTGAGACACGGACATCATGATAATCAGCCCTAAACTCCGCTCTGTCCTGTGCCAATCTGTCTCTGACACTCCAATCCCAATTAACCCACTCACTGAATCAATCCACCTCATAGAGGGCCTTCCTCTCCTGCGCTGTCCCTCCACCCTCCCAAGCATGATGTCCCTCTCTAAGGACCGGTCTCTCCTCACAACATTCCAAAGTATGTTAGACGGAGCCTCAGAATCCTTGCCTCCAAGGAGCCACCTGGTTTAACCCTTTTCCAGGACAAATCTGTTTGTTTTCCTAGCAGTCCATGGTATTCTCAATACTCTTCTCCAGCACCACAGCTCAAAGGCATCAATTCTCCTTCTATCCTCCTTGGTCATTGTCCAACTCTCTGATGCATAACAAGTGATTGCGAAGACCACGGCCGGTATCAGACGCACCATAGTCTCCAGAGAGACACCATTGCTCTTCAGCACTTTGGAGAGGTCCCTAACAGCAGACTTTCCCATGGCAATGCGCCTTTTAATTTCCTGGCTGCTGGTGCCAAGACTGTTGACTATGGAGCCAAGTAAACTAAAGCTGTGTACAATCTCAATCTCTTCACCATCCATCCTGATGCTGCCAATTGGTCCAGTGGTGAGAATCTTTGTGTTCTTGACATTGAGCCTCAATCCATATTGTAGGCTGCAGTCCTTGACACTCTGCAGCAGGCGCTTCAGGTCCTCTTCAGTTTCAGCAAGCAGGGTTGTGTCATCCGCAAAACGCAGATTGTTGATAAATCGTCCACCAATGTTGACCCCACATTTCTCCTCATAGACCCCAGCCTCCTGGATAATCTGTTCTGCATATAGGTTCAAAAGGTACGGAGATAGGATGCATCCCTGGCGTACACCCTTCCCAATTTTGAACCATGTAGTGTTCCCTTGCTCTGTTCTGACGACTGCCTCCTGGTCCAAGTATAAGTTTCGCATTAGAACGATCAAGTGTTCTGGGATTCCCATTCTTCTCAGAGTCAGCCATAGTTTGTTATGATCTACATATTCTTTTTTTTTTTTAAAAAAAGTTTATTAAAGACCAAACTTTAATAATTGAATAACAGCTGTTTACAGAAGGTTCCATTCATGCTACCATGTGAGAAATCTAAAACTTAAAGCTGATTATCTCTTTGGATACATAAAAACAATATATATTAAAGCACATCACATGTGCGGAGGGAGGAGGCAGTCAAGAGAGCTCTTGACAGAGGCTACAGCAGCAAGCTGATGATTATCCTAACAGGGCACAGAAACTCCTTCTGGAGTTCAGTCCTGGGAAATGAAATGGTCTTGGCCAAAAAGAGGTCCAGACATGAGTTTTGATTAATTCTTATTAAAACAGTCAAAGGCAACCTTTCTGTTGCTGGTGTTGTATCTGGAACCAAAGGAAATTGTGGCTTATTTTTTGTATTTAGATTGAGCAAGCAAGTGGGTGATCAAAAAAGGAGTGACATCTAGCCAGTAATTCTGACTCCAGGCCAAAATCTCTTCAACTGAGCTCTGAGCTCTTCAGGCAGGATGGCCTGAGACTGCTCCTGCACCCGCATTCCCACAATCTGCTCCTCTGGGTGGCTGTCAGGTCTCAGCCACTCAATCGCCAGCTCCTGCAGATATTGGAGGACATCCCTGGGCCGAGCTGCCTTCTCATAGAGGAACTGTCTAAACGTCTGCAGAGAGGCTGCAGGGTTGGGGGGATTCCTTTGTGGGATGGTTTCAAGGTCCTTGACAGAGTCATTTTCTTCCAGGCTGTTTAACAGGAGCCCTGCAGTTTCTAATGAAACCTGGACCAGGAGTACCGGTATTAGGACTTTTTATTTCTGGCTCCTCAGCCACCAACATGGCTGTTTATTTGGTCACTGTGAACTTCTTTCCTATTTCATTTTATCTCTAGGTTTCCTTCAGTCTCCATTCTAGAATCCTGGGAAAGAACGTGTTAGATACCTGTGCAAGTACTGCTTCGGAGGGCAGGGGAGCAGGAGCAAGGACGCGCAGGAGTCCCACTCAAGCACCTGAAGCCTGAAAAAGGGCTGACATATTCTTCAAAGAAGCTTTGAGAAAGGTATCAAACTGAGTCAAGATGAGAGTTTAGAATTTTAATATAAGAGTTGGCAATAGTTCAAACTCAAACTCATTGCTGTCTGGTTGGAACAGACTTGTAGAAGACCCTCCAGTGAATTTTCAAGAGATTGTAAGTCACTTGGAAAAGGACTGACCATCTTCATCCCTTGGAGCTGCTGATGGAGTCACACCACTATTGAGGTGCTCCTTAGGGTTAGAAGGGCAATGTACATAGATAAAGGAGCATAAGGTTCGCACTAATGGAAAAAGATACTCATCTAAGATAAACCCAGCAAGAGAGTGAAGGAAAGATGCGGGAGAAAAGACAGTTAGACAAAGAAAATTAAATACCATGGGATGTCACTAAGATCAGAACACTCTATCTGCCTCAGTTTTTCTAGCTCTTTATTCTGAATTTTTTTTATTTATTCTGAATTTGATCTCTAGCCTAATAAATACACAACCCTCAAAATTTTCCCAGTTCCAGTGTAAAGGTCCTACTACTTTGTTGTGCATATAGCCTCAAGAAAGCATATCAGTGACGATATATTTACTATTCATTCGGTTCGTTATTTAAGACTTATAACAGGGTTATTGTCAATGTTGTATCAGTTCCTACCCTCCCCTCACCAGGTTTAAAGTATCTAACAAAGAAATCCCTTCTTTACTTACAACTGCAGAGCGGGTCACTTTGGAAGGAATTCCACCTTCCTCTGTTGCTCCGTTGGGCCCGGCTGCCTCCTTCCTCCTCTTCCTTGCACTGCCTCTGGTTGAGCTCTGGGCGTCCATCTTCTTTCAACTAATTATAAAAACGTAGAGGGGAGAGTTCTTTCTCAATAGGGTGAAGAGAAGATGTCACTAATATTTCAGGGATGTTAATACTGATACTCTTTCTTAGCAAAAGATCCACTCCATAACCTACTATTCACCAAAATGAGCAAACTGCATTTGGCAAAAACACAGGCTCTAGAAGAAACCTTACAAACCCCAGGGTCTAGGAGAAACACTAAAATGCCTCTCTGTGGAACAATGACCACAATTAATCACTTGGCCTTGGACATTATTGCTACTGGACAATGGAGCCTGAATACAAACCATTAATTCATATCCTGATTGTTTATAAAATGTTGGAATGACTTGGTTGAGGAATGAAGTTATACTGGCTTTACCTCTGTCCTGTATCATAATCCTTGGGGGTATGACTGTGGTACAGGTGGAGAAAGACAGTCTTCTTAAAAGAGGTAAACACAATATACATTCAACATTCTATCTTATCATTTTTAAAAAAAACATTTTTTTATTGTTGTTGAAAATATACACAACACACACATTCAACAATTTCTGCAGGTGCAATTCAATGACACTCATGCAATCACAGCCACTCACATTTTCCAAATTGTTCCTCTCCATTAATAAAACCCACTGACCCTAAAATTCCTAATAAGTATCTTATGTTGCTGTTGTCAAATGCCAAATAGATAACTTTTTAAAACAGTACAATGCTAAAGCCAGATTTTTTCTTCTTAAGCTTTATTTTTTTTAAATAATTTTAACGAGCATTTACAGAGATTTTGGATTTCCATTCATTCATTGCTGCACTTCTCTCCCCGCCCAGCCCTCCCCTCCCCCACCCAGTTCACTCCTCTCTTTCAAAAGTAAAAGAAACACTCCCTCCCTGGTACACAATCCCCCCCACACCCCTCCTGCCGCCCCAAGTACATTCCACTATGCAACCTTAATTGTGGACTCTTGTGATAACCATAATACCCTATCATACATTGTAAAGCCAGATTTTTAAAAATTATTTTAAAAGTCATTAATTGTTGCACTTTTCTCCCTACCCACCTCCTCCCCCCAATTCACTTTTCTCCTTGAAAAGTTAAAAAAAAAAACAAGGAACGCTTCACGAATTTGCGTGTCGTCCTTGCGCAGGGGCCATGCTAATCTTCTCTGTATCGTTCCAATTTTAGTATCTGTGCTGCCGAAGCGAGCAAGACAGATAATTTTTTATAATTAAGCTAAACTACTGCTGGGTTTAAAGGAGACTTCAGGGAATCATGTCAGGGCAAGCTTTTCAGAGATTTCATCCAACTTCAGCGGCTCCACAAATAAATGAGAAATTTTGTTCTCTATTTCCCACTTTTAATCAAGATTGTTCTATAGACCAAGTAGTTATTCCTTATTAATTTTAAAGCCAGAAAATTTCTCATACTTGCTCCTGGTGAGCAATGCTCAGAAGAAACCTATGTAAGTGTGAAATTATATCAAGTGCTACCAATCATGTCCCAAACTTAGAAAGCAGAAATTTAAGGAACTACAAGCAGGCACAGAGATTTAAGTAGACAAAATACACATTTATAATAGAGACAAAATACATATCTATCACCACATATGGAACAAAATAGTTACAGGAAGCTTATCTCTCAGAGAAGAAATCAAATATTCATGAACTACTTGTTGTTATGTGCCTGTCAGGTCGTTTGCGACTCATAGCGACGCTATGTAAAACAGCCCCAAACTCTGCTCTGTCCTGTGCCAATCTCACTGTCTCTGACACTCCCATCCCAATTATCCCAGTGATTGAATCAATCCACCTCATGGAGGGTCTTCCCCTCCTGCGGTGTCCCTCTACTCTACCCAGCATGATGTCCCTTTCTATAAAGACCTGTCTCTCCTTACTACTACATGTTTATAATTTCAGTCAATGTATCTTTCCCATGTTTCTCTTTAGTCCAAATCTTATTTCATTATTTCAATTAAAAGAATACACAGTATTATGGTCCCTGCACCACCAATTCCATATCCCTCACTTTGCACATTTTTTTGAGTACCTCTATCAGTGACATGCTTCTAAATGTAACTCATTATTCCCCACTTGATCTTCATTCCTTCCAGTTCTGGGTATTCTTAACCTACCATAGCCAAAGTGATGTTCAGCCTAACAACCACACTGGGTTATCATTATAAAAATAGACCAATATCAGGCGAGCTGTGGTGGCCTAGTGGCAAGAAGCTGCACTGCAATCCCTGAGGTGCACGGTTCAAATCCACCAGATACTCTGCTGGAAAAGGAGGAACAATCTTCTCCTGTACCAGTCAGATTTAATTTGACGGCACACACACACTAATAATTAAAAAAAAAAAAAATAGACCAATAGCAAATACCTCAGATGCCTACAATACTTTACTGAGAGATCCAAACATGAGCAAAGCACAAACTTTAAGGTTTCAAAAAGCACAATTTCAAGTAACAAGGCAAAAAGTGACTGGATTTAAAATATCTGTTGCCAATAAATCTGCCAGCAGCACAACTGCAGAAAATTAATGTACATTAGAAATGAATATTTAAAGACCTCCTAATAATTCATTCAAGGCACTCTATTGGCCTAGTGGCAAGAAGCTGCACTGCAATCCCAAAGGCACACAGTTCGAGACCACCAGCTGCTCTGTGGTTGAAGGATGGGCAATCTCTTCCCATGTGATTAACTGCCTATGAAAACCCACCAGTGGGTCAGGTATGGGTCTGTTCTGACTTTATAGTACAAAACAACAGCATAATTAATTCGATATTTATTAAATCTGTCAAGTGCTGAGTGCTTTCAAGAAAGTTCTTTTTCTCATTATTAAAAAAATGTGTCCTTGGTATCTTCATCCGTAAAATGAAAGGCCCAGATATATTTCTCTTCTTTCCCCACTAGTATCAATGTCACAACAGACCTTAATGTCTGTTTCCATTTACTGATGGATCCCCAAGAGCAAGCAAAGAAAGAAGAGTGAGTTGGAATCAACTCAGTGGCACTGGAGGTTGGATTTTGTTTTTAAAGAAGATTAAGAGTAATGGAGGAGGAAACAGCCATGCTGACACTGAGCACATAAAGAGGTGCTAGAAACACACTGCATTTGAATAAAGCTACAGCCCACTGATAGAGCACGAACCTGATTCAGTATGAAGAATGAACCAAAGTTACTAATTTGTACATGTAAAAATTGCTGAAGTGTGTACATTTGGCTGTGTATATTTTCACCAACATAATGAAGGCATTTATCTTTATTCCTAGATTATGCAAGATAGAAATACTTTGTTGGAAAACATATTTAAAACTACTCTATACGGAGGTACTGGTGCTTCTAACCTAATCTCATGTTAACAGTATATTAGTATTGGAATATTATGTGGTCCCCTTGAAAGTTATCCAACCTGAATTAGTTGTGGTGTTTGTGGTTTTTTGTTTTTAAAAAAATAGACTAATGTCCCAGTAATTTCTGTTTTAAGTCAATAATATTTAATGAATTTAACTACATGCAAATAAATACTGTATTACACCATACTTTCAGTTTCATCAACTTGATGACTAGCTGTACAAACATACTGTCATATACTGTAATCGAAATTGCTTTGGAACGTCATATTGGGCAAGGTTCTTCAGAGATCTTAGATTGCAGTCTTAAATGGTAGTGTAGGGATCTCCTTGTTCTTACTTTCCTACAGCTCCTTATAGAGTGCCACATACAGTTGGGTAAACTGTTCTTCCCTCATCTTCATAAACATTAATTTTTTTTTTGAGAAATATTAAATTACAATTTGTCACTGTATGCTGTGGATGAGGCACAAGGTGATTTGAGTGGCAGAGTAAGCCCTAGTAAACTAAGGTAGGCCTGGTCTGTCTTTAACAATCCATATGTACTCTCCCTTAAAGAGCCCTACTGTGTGTGTCAAGGCTGCTAATTGGAAGAAAGCCTCAAAAACTTGATGAAGGTTTGCAATGAGTTGAAATGACTCTGCAGCAATGGGCTTATTACACTTTCTTCTCTCTTGCTTAATGTTTTCCAGACCTCCTACCTGCAGTCTCATTCTTCTCAATTAAGTAATGCTCCCGAGGGAGGGACTGATAAGGAAGATGTTGATTAATTATGCATGGGATGCTGTTTATCCAAGGCAGTTACCAATCTAAAGAGGAACTTGCCCTGCTACTTGTCTAGAAGAAAACTAGCATAAGGTGCTAGCATAAGATACTCTCAAAAAAAAAAAAAGTATTACCTAAAAAGAAATACATAAAAAGAAAACAGTGGCTCTGAAAAAAAAAAAAAGTAAATAAAATAGGGGGACTAAAATAAACACAGTGCGCTACTAAAAAAAAAAAAATTCTGTGACAAGGTAAATTCAAGAGTCATGCTCCTTTAAGATGTGTCTCTGTAAAAAAGCTTTAGAAACGAACAACAGCTTCCAGAAGGTAATAACTTCTGCTGCTCATTACCAACTCCTGGTTTTCAAACCATGGCGACCATAACTCTAAATGCTCTCTCAGTAAAGTTCAATGACCACTCCCCTGGGAACAGTCCTCTGAAAACTGGACTGAGTGTAGCAGATACTGGAAATGCTTTTCGAGTACTCATTCTCCCCTTCCCTTTTAGCTCCTTACACTTATTCAGAGTGCCCAACTATTTAAATTCCTCCTTGGCTGCTGCTTTCCACAAGGAAAAAATATCTTCATGACCATTTCATTTAGCAGAAAGCCTCTAGCAAGCAGCTATCACTGAAAGGCTCTGAATACTCAATATTTGGTTTTAATACTCATTGGTTGGTTGGGTGGTTCATCTCTTCAAATTCCAAAAGATATTTGCTTTTATTCTTGAGGAATATTATATGTACAAATAAATTCATTTCTGCCTCCTCCTCTTTTCCTGCTTTAACAACCAAATTTACTCTCTTACAGTTTAGGAAACTCAAAGTCCAGAATCAGGACACCAGCTCTAAAGGAAGGCTGTAGAGGGAAGTCTTTGTTTCTTTC